GTCGGCACTTCGTTCGTAGATGCTCATGAGACTACGATTAGTCCCCTTCCTGTCCGGCATCCTTCCAGGTCGGCGGCTACCCGGTCTGAGCCTGGCACCGGGCTGAAAATTTGTTCCCAGGGCGGTTTCCCGCCCCTCTAATCCGCGGTCCAGCTCGGCACTTTGGTATCAGACCGGGTTCTTGTTTCGATCCGGAGGGGCTGAGTATCCGATCCGGCCCGGACCGAATCGGTTGTCAACAATATCTAAAGGAGTAAACTTGTGCATTAAGTCGGTCGAACGAGTCAAACGGACCGAATAGGCTGCCTCCGCCAAACAAAATCAAGCAAAATGGTCATGATCGACTAGTTCCCAGATAGAGTGCAGTCAGGGAATCGATCTAGGTATGGTCGAGCATAAGAGCCTTCAACGGGATTTCAGGGGAATCTTTACCCCATGTATGGAGGATACGTGGCGCAATGTGAGTAGTACAGGGCGATAAACGCTTCTAACACACATAGTGTGCGTGTATACGGACAGGTAACTTTGGGCATATAGCTCACCAAATCCGGGTAACCCCTAGGTCAGTTACCTCACCCCTAGGCGTGAGCTTTAGTTGTTGGAGACGATTTGATCCATCTTACTCTTGAGAATTCAGTAAAACACATATTGACTTAAGCATACGAACTTAACTCTAATATTGAAAATTTAAAATTCAAATAAAATATAATATAGTTTTTTCTTAAAAAAAAATATCTTTTACCTTTCACACCATTTGAAATAATTTATTTATAACAGGAAAATTCAGTTGTAGATTAAGTATTACTAAACATGAAATTTAAGTGAAACTTAATTGTTATTACTATATTTTATTTGCACTTTAAAAATTTTCAAATTATATAGGAACAAAGTTGACATAAAATATATTAATAACACGCATGTAATGTCATAGTTCGTTTCTTAGTTCCGTACGGTACGAGATGATTCGGTTTGGCTCGGTTCTCAGATATTTATGAAATCTCTAGAATGTATCAATTGTTTTTCTGTTCGATTCGATTCGATTCGTAGAAAGTCAAACGGTCAACGATTATCTTTCCGTTCAGAGTACAGTTCGATTTTCAAAACGATTCGAAATTATTTTTCGTTTCAGAGTAATTTCAGTTCGATTTTCAAATCGATTTGAAATTATCATAAGTTGTACAGCACCTGTCCACGGCGCCCGTCTCCACTCCCAAACCAAATCAAATGAGAGTTGAATTGTACCGACTAACAAAAAGAAAATAAATAAAAGAGTTAAATAATTTTTGGGATTCTAGAACATTACATTCTTCCGATCATCAAATCAAAGGAAGGTTAGGAAAGGCTCACCGGAGCTATGGGTGGTGGTAATGGCCAGAAAGCCAAGATGGCGCGTGAGAAGAATTTAGAGAAAACGAAAGCTTCGAAAGGTTCTTTCGTGCTTTCTTTGATTTCTTTGTGTGTGTGTGTGTGTGTGTGTGTGTGTGTGTGTGTGTGTGTGTGTTGGTTCACCGAATTGTTTCCCGTTGTTGTTGGGTTCTGATTTGCCCGATCCGTGCAGGAAGCCAGCTGGATGTGAACAAAAAAGCCATGAATATTCAGGTAATAATAATTTCTTTGCAATTTTCCTTTAATTGAAAAAGTTGAAGTCTTGATTAGTCTTCAAGAGTCCCATTCCGTCATGCCTAATGGAAAAAGCTTGTTAGTATTAGGGCTTTATCAAGCATTTTGTTTGGAAGCCATGGTAGAAGCATTTCCTTTGATGCCGCTATGTTACCCGGACTCTTCTAAGAATACCCGTGTCATGTTGTGTCGACACTGGTGTGGGTATGAGTGTCGGGTGTGGCGTTTTAGCCTAAAATGTTCAAGATTTTTAAACTATTGACGAGTCGGACGCTCATATCTCCACACCCGATACGCTACCCATATCCGAGTCCAGGTAGCATGCTATTTTAAATGTTCAAATATAAAGATGATTTCTTTTGGCATTTTTTATGGCATTGGATTAATGTCTGGTGGCATTGAAATCAAGTGCTGGAAAGGGCCTTCCTGCCCGATTGAAGGTCTCCGTGCTTGATTTACCACAGTACAAGCTCTTGGTCTTTGCTAGTTTTGCTCAGAGTTTTAAGTATTTGTGGAGTCAGTATCATGACTTATGTGTTACGAGTAACTTCAAGTGTTCTTCTACTGATACGAGTGTTATTACAAATTTTGATTGATTTTCAAATAGTGTTCATTATAGGTGTTGGATGCACTTTGTTGTAGGCCTGCTTGACATACTTTTTAGAATTATGTTTAATAGAACAAATTGGGGCATTATGCCTACCCTTAGCATCAATGTTATTAATGGCGGATGGCGGTACATGGCGTTTTGCCAAAATTCCGCCATTGGCGGCAGCCGTGGCGGTCTATGGCGCCTCCGTGACCGCTATCACTCACAAATTTTGCATGGCGGATTGTCAAAAATCCGCCACGCCATACCGCCATGGCGCCGCCATGGCCGCCATTTGACGACACTGCTTAGCATTGAGGTGTTTCTTAATTGGATATGGCAACCACATTTGAAGGTGTTTGATAAATCACATTGATTTGTGAATGGGTTGTGGTTCTTTTCTAAGTTATTATGTAAGAGGTATAGATATACCTTTTTTTTTTCTTTTTAATCTTCTTCCAAACTTTATGCTGGACAGTAAGAAGTTTGTTGCAAAAAGTGATTTGCTTCTTCTTTCTTTTCGGTTGCTTGCATTTATTGTTTGATTAATGTTCAAACATATTGTTACTGTTGCTTCCATGTCCCATTCCTTTGTGGTGGACTCTTCTTCTAAGTTCTACTGCTTATGGCCATTATTCAAGGCACAAAGCAATTATTGGTCCGAGTTAATAGTTTCGAAGACACATTTTGGATCTCCTTCTAATGTTCTGGAAATTATTTAATTGATCTTTTTTTTTTTGGTTTGGATGATGAATGTAGTGCAAGGTGTGTATGCAGACATTCATGTGCACTACCACTGAGGTGAAGTGCAGGGAACACGCTGAAGCTAAGCATCCGAAGGCTGACGTGTACACGTGTTTCCCACATCTGAAGAAGTGATCCCTCTATGAAAGAGTAATCGTGCAAGAATGATTTGATTGCAAGCATTTAGTATGTTGAATTTATCGGAATTTGAAGGTTTAAGAGGTTAAGAAGATTTTGTGGAATGTGCATGTATCTGTATTGCATTAATCGATTTGTGTATTATCATGAAAGATTGTGATGAACTTATTTGCATTTTAGCACCAAAGTTTATATTGGCTGTGATATATTTATTTGGATCTGTGAGGCTATCATCCACTTGTGTGCGATGCCGCATTTGAGGATGATTAGGCATCATTTGAGGATGATTACTTATCGTTTGCATTATGATTCAGAAGTGGATAATGTCCCTTGTGGTGTTTCAAAGAGCTTGTAAGCTCTTAAAGGTATCATTAAATAGCCCAAAAATATAAGCTAAGATTCTATGAAAATGATATCCACGAAAGTCCGCAAATACACTTCTTCATCATATGAAGTATAGTCAAAGTTTTATGCATACAATACAACTGCAAGCAAAACAATCAATCCCCCCATGATTCAGAACCAAGGCGTCGATAAAAGATGTGTGGGCAACATAAAACCTTTGCCCAACTATGGTACAATAATACAATAATAATTGTATGAATTGCAAATCACAATCTCGTTAATGTAGAATGACTATTTCGGGACCCTATTGGGTCCGTGCCCGACTATTTTCCACAGCTCGTACTTGGGAGAAATACGGGTGGCCCTATGAACACCACAAGGAACTTGCATTTCAAAAACCATAGAACAAAAACAAACAGAAACAACAAATGGTGGAACAACTATGGAAAGAGTGAACGTCAGGAACCCGAAAACCTTTAAAAACAAAAAGTATTACCATGGCCTCTTTTGCCGTGAGCCTATCCTGATGATCATATCGCAAGAGTTTGTCAAGGAAATCTATGGCCTGGTACAGCAAAACAAGGAATTTTAAAACACTACACAAGTTTTAATTCGTAAGTTAAGTCATGCAGTATTGAGAAACAAATATACGAGAACCAATAGAAGGGCGCCTAGAAAATATAACATGCGTGACGATCAGATAAAGTACGAGAACAAATAGGAGGGTCCCGAAAAAATATAACATGACCTCTGGTGACACGAGATGCTGATTATCTGCATTTATAAATTTTGACCATGGCTTCCTGCTGTGTCTGCCAAATGAAAAAAGGAATGAACTTTCTTTAAGATAGATGCACAAAACTGTAGACCTCTCGGATTTTCTGCTCAATTTTAGGTTTTGAGTTAAGTTTTGCTTGTACCTACCTCCCGACAAGAGCTTCAAGCTTAGGGTCAAGTTCCAAATTGTATTTATGTAAATATGCATTCAACTCATCAGTTCCAAGTACCTGGGAGGACAAACGTATTATCAGATACGAAGCTAAAAGAGAGTACCACGTTATTTTATCACAAGCCCTTTCATTTATTTTGTTCAACAGGATTACAAGCATACAATACATTTTTTATCTGTTTTTTGCTGAAATTCTATGCATAAATGAATTACCATTTGATACATTACAGGCCTGGTGAGCTCAATTTATTTAATTTATAACATTTAGTTATAATTATGTATGAAAAACAACCAGTGATGAAAAATAAACAATCTGAATGGCTTAGAGGAACAAAACCAAATGTTAGAAAGAATACTGAAGCTTAGTGCTTGCGAGCAGGCTGAATGCTGTTACCTTGGCAATTTTCACTAGTTGATCTTGGTTATCATGTCCATAAAAGAATGGTTCCTTGCGAAAAATCTACTTTAAAACCAGGAAACAAGATGAGTGCATATATAACATGTTGTAACAAAAAGAATGCCCACGAAACCAAAATAGGCCCGTAGAAAACTCACCATGCCTGCAAACATGCAACCAAGACTCCACAGGTCCAAAGAATAGTCATAGTCTTGCAAGTCAACAAGAAGTTCTGGACCCTTGAAGTACCTGAATAAGAGAAATTAAAAATGGAAATGAAAAAGATCTTTGTGCGAGACTAAAAGATAGCTTAAGCTATCAGTTAAGCTAATGAAGGCAGAGAAACAACAGAAATGCCCTGCTTAATAAGGTAATAAAAACGATTTTATTCTTCCAGCAAGCACCATCTAGTCAAAGGTACTTCTATAACGAGAACCTTCAAGTTCAATCAACTGGGGTAAGAATTTGGTAGCTGAAAAATAAAATATATATTTCGACCGTTACTTAGATCAAGGTGTTTATTGAGTTGAACACAGCATTCAATATTTTTGTTCATTATAGTTCTTGTTCTACAGCAGAATGCGTAGGTTGATCCAGCTATGTATTTAGGATATTATTTCACCAGCTTCTACAAAGATAACACAGTCAAAATATTACCTTGAGGCAACACGGACATTATATTCTTTTCCAGGGTGGTAAAACTCTGCAAGGCCCCAATCAATCAACCGAAGCTTCCGCAATTCATGGTCTATCATCACATTGTGAGGCTTAACATCTCTGTGCATTATTCCCTGTGAGTGACAGTAATCAAGTGCCTGCAAGAACAAAAACAGGTTTAATCTCCAGCAGAAGAAAATTATACTCACATATTAACCGATCATTCATGAATAAATTACATTCTTCTGATTCATCAACAAATAATTCTATTATCAATGAATCAGTGTCCGACATCCCTTTGGCAAAACTCAATTTTCATGACACTCATAAAGAAGTTCCAATAGAGAACCATAGGTTTTGTCCACCGTTCCTTTTATTATATATTTTTTCCTCTCCAACTTTCTATTTCACAAAACATTTCTTATGGAAACCCAAATGTGGAAATCATAATAAAAACGTTTGCAACTTATCCTCCCATCTGCAAAATTATATTCTCACCTTGAGGAGCTCATAGATATAGTAACGGATGTCATAATCCGTCAATGTAGGATATAGAACTTTAAAGTCTGTGCTATTCACGAATTCAAATATCAAGCTAGGAGTTTTCGAGTGCTGGTCTCTGACAATGTCCAGGAGTTTGACAATATTTGTTCCCCCACGTAGATTCTGCAGTATTTTGATCTCTCTCTTTATCTAGCATAGTGAAAAAAAAAAAAAAAAAAGTTTACACACTGAATTAAAATTTGCAGGTGCATCATAAACAATAAATATATAGGAACATCTATCTTCGTTTAGTACATTTATTATTATTCAATATCACTGAACTCCAAGTGCATAAATATATAGGAACATCTATCTTCGTTTAGTACATTTATTATTACTCAATATCACTGAACTCCAAGTGCATACAAATAAATAATAGGAGCTTTTTCAATACAAGGCCTGAAAGATGTGTAAACTATCAATTTGGGGCCTGAAAGATTTTTTTTCTCAATTCGGGACCTAAATGTTATTAAACTATCAAATTAAGTCCTACAATTAGCAACACTCATAAAACCATTAAATTGAGAGTTAATTTGAACTTTTAAAACACCAAATCTGTTTTTTTTTTTTTAATATTATGCAAATGTTTACTTATTATTTTATGTGAGTAAGCAACAATCTTTTATTTTTCTTCAAATTTGGTGTTTTAAATTTCAAATTAACTCTCAATTTAATAGTTTTATGAGTGTTGTTAATTGTAGGACTTAATTTGATAGTTTTATAACATTTAAGTCCTGAATTGAGGAAAAAAATCTTTCAGGCCCCGAATTGAATTGATAGTTTACCTATCTTTCAGGCATTGTATTGAAAAAACTCCATAATAAAAAGATGTATATAATAGATATCTATGGTGAACTGGAGAAAATAATGGAACATATGCTGAGTGTCGATTAGCTTGAGCTTGTTAAAGAAATCCACAATGTCGAGTTTGCCAAATTTCACCAGTGCAGGAATAGATGCTTTTACAGGCACCAAGTGTGTAATGCTCTAGGGGTAGGGGTATTTCAATTTAATTCTCTTTATCAATTACCTTTTTCTTCTTAACAGGTTTCAGAATCTTGATTATGCACCGCTCGTTGTTGTTGACATTGATACCTTCAAAAACTTCACTGTACTTCCCTCTTCCAACTTTGCGAACAATCTCATAATCATCCTGGTCTCTGAAAATGAATTAGCAAATAAACTTACACTCAGACATTAGCATATATCTGAAGTCAATGCACTGAACAGAATTGGCTTCCAAAACAAGAAACCCATTTTTTTTTATTCTGTATTTCTCAAACACAACAGAAGTTGTATGCTTTCTCACCATCCTCAGGCAGCTTAAGCAGAAATCGCAAAACAATGGTAGTAGTATACCAAGGTTTAACTCATCCTGGTCACAATTATGTAAGTTCTTAATTCTTAGACTAGCAAGTCAATTAAAAAATGTAAGTTTTACATGAATAACTTTAATTACACAAAGAAAGGTACACAACGGGATAACTATGAAAGATAACTTACAGACTACAGAATGAGTGATGAGACATAGTAACACCCTTTACTGCCCTTTATTTATGCTTCAAAAAAAATCTTTAAAACTGTATATTTTTGTCCTCTCCTCATTTTTCTTTATTACTTACTTCTAACATAATAAGTGAATAATGAGTCATCATCACACCCACCAATGCATCCTTCTTCTACGTCGAAAACTTCATAGTGCCATTACATTCTCTCATTTTTCCTTTTCCTTTTTTCCCCTCGTTCTACCCAAAAAATAAAACTCAAAAAACAAGGATGCGGTCCTAGAACTGATCGAAATAATCCACAAAACTTCAAGTCTTTCTCTTCATATTTGATGGGCAAAACTCAAAAGGCTCATCATATATCAGATATATGCCAATACACAGAAAACATAAGATAAACTCAAAACCCCAATGACGATCCAAAAGCATAAAACTATTAACCTGTATTTGGATTGAGGGATTTGGGTCTGTGGATTTCAATTTTCCAAGTCCAAATTCCCATACTTTTCGACTGATGATAAAATCGGAGGATATCAAATTCACTCAAGAAACCTAATAGACTTTACTCAGAGAGATTTTACATTGCAAATCCACTCTTCATCCCAGCACACAGCTAACAGAGATCCATGCACATCCAAATAATATATATTAAAGCATCAAATTTGAAATTCAAGGGGACTGAAATCCATTCATTTGAAATACCCCAGATTTCAAATCTGTCAATCCAAGTATTGTCTAAGTTTCTTCCCGTTACTATGTACTCTTAGGTTCAAGAATAAAAATTTTAACAATAAATCACATCATCAACTAACAAAATTCATTGCTCCATTATGAAATTCAGGAAAAAAAAAAAAAAA